GTTAATAATAATATATATTATATATATAAAATACAATAGGTTTATATATATAAAACCTATTGTATTATATATAATATTATTAACCTATTATATATATTATATTTTATACATATATTATAACCTATTGTATATACATATAGCCTATTATATATATTATTAACCTATTTTATATATATATAAATTATATATATATATTATTTTTATATGTATCTATTTATAGATATAGATATAGATATAGATATCCTATTTAAAAACCCAAAACAAATGAGGCAAGCGTAATCCCAAGACTTTGTTTCATTAGAATCAAATGTGCATCTCTCAGATCTATTAAAAAAAAGTATTTCTCCAAAAAACAAAAGCTAGCTTTCTCAAGCAGTGCCTCCTGGAAGTTATTTCTATGGCTGCATTGATGGTCACCTGAGTTAAATTTTCCACACCCAAAGTCGTGTTGCTTGCTAGTGTTAAAAACAGCGTGCAGGGCTGCAGTCTAGGAGCTACATTGCCACAAACAGTGAACAGAGAGCAGAATCACCAAAAAAAGGGATGGATGGGTGGATAAGTACAACTATTAAAGACCATTAAAACAGGAGAGAGGATCATTGATACTTGTGGGACGAAGAGTTTAGAGGGAATCAGGTATATCAGCGGTTCCCAATCTGGGGTACGGGTACCACCAGTGGGACGCAGACAGCCCGTCAGTGGTCCGCATTAACCAATTGATTTTCATTACTTGATATGACACAAATTTGCTGGTGGTACTTCAAATTGAACTGAAAAAAATTGCTTGTGGCACTTAAAGTTGTTTCATTTTTAATTGGTGGTGGTGTGCAATCTGTCAGAGTTTGGGAACTGCTGAGGTATATGATCACTGCTGCCTGAATAGAAATACCATTGCCACTGCCAGGCATTTGGTTTTAAACTTTGGGTGGAGCAGAAATCAAAGCCGGGTACAACTGCACCACTGCACCCTCACCCCACACCCCAGACCCACCCCTGGTAGCAGTAGGCACCTGCCTGTCTTGCAAGAAAATAGACTTGCACAGAGTGAAGTATCAGCATGTTGAACATCGGCGAGTGTGGCCATAGAGCCCAAGTCTTGAGTGACAGTCCCTTCCACACTTATCACACGTGAAGTTTCTGTCTAACTGTCCCGAATGTGGTTTTGTAGTTGTTAGGGACAGGAAGGGACCTTGCAGAGCATCGGGCTGGTGGCTCATGTTCATTTTGTTGTCTAGCACAGCACCCAGGTCTCGTTGTGGTGCAAGATTCTTCCTGTGGTTTCTTCTCTCCTGTGCACGTCGGGCTTGTCTTTCCTCAAAAGCCTTCATTCCCCGCTGAATAGACAGTTGCCCTTTGATCCTCAGCAATCTTCTCCAGGTCTTTTGGCTCTAGGACTTTATGGCTGTACTTTCAGCTCATTAGCTGGACAGAGCTGCTTCTTCCCACCTGAGAGACAGTGCAGCATAAGGGCACTGACCATAACCTGGGCTGGCATGAGCAACCTGGTTCTGACCACTGAACGTTGTGGGGTTTATGGGGCACTGGGTGGCATCGTGCCGCATCCTCTTGGAAAATGCAGCGGGATCAGCAACAAGGTTTGCCTTCTGCAGCATCCATGCAAAGGTTTGGCATCAGACAGCCATTGTAGCAGCAGCTGGAAAACACGTAGCTCCTTCTTCATTACTCAGATGCTAATGGCATTCTTAATATTGACAAATGCTCTTTCCGCTGGCTGCTAATGCAACCAGCTCACTGCCCTGGACAGGACTCTGCCTAGCACTGGGCTAAGATAAATCTATCAAATTATGATCAGAGTCCAATTTCAGAGAGTCCTTGAGGATATCGAAACACAGATCGGAAAATTGGCAGAGTCATGGGAAATCTAAGATATTTTGTTATCACCATTTATGGTCATTATTATTTGTGCTGTAATAGTGACTAGGCAATCAAGGCTTTTGGTAGAGGGGTGTTATTTTTTTATTAGACCAACAAGATTTTTGGAAAAAAAAAATCTTTAATTGCAAGCTTTCGGGCACCAACACCCTTCATCAAGCATCAGAGAAAAGATTGTAAAAGTTCTCCTGGGTAGAAATGAAAGTTCATATTTTGTAGGATTTCGGTCAATAGATGGAAAACTCCTCTGGGCAGGCCGTTCTTAGCTGGTAGGGAGTCTCTCAGCTCTTGTGATGCTCTCTGATGATGCAGATTACCTTAAAACAAAAAGGCAGGAGCAGGATCTCAGTTTCAGGTGGTCAGATTTGCTTCCTCCTTGGGAAGTGACTAGGGGCTACACTCACCCATCAAGGATCGGGCCCAGTTGTACCGAATTTATAATGAGAAACAAAGAAAGAGTGTCTCCATCCCAAAAAGCTTGCAATCTAAGTATGGAAAAAAAGAGGCTTGTGAATGCCAGAAAGCAAATATGTTTATTCAAACAAATATTTATGAAAATACTTTCTATAAAATCCATTCATCTCTGTAGTTATCCTCGATCTCTCTTGTTCAGTTCCTGCATTACTTTTTTTCTGATAACTATCTATTTGTACCTTCCCCCCGACCTGTAAAATATGGATAATAGCATCCTCATACCTCACAGTATGTTGTGAAGCTTAATTCATTAATCAAATTCAACACAGATCAGTAAAAATCAATGGTTAATAATGAAAATTCTTATCACTAGAAAATGTGAGGCACCGTGTCTGGAATAAGCTGATGGCTTTAGTACATCTGATAATATGGACTAGAGCAGTTTACGGGGGGGGGTTTTCCATGTACAAGCAGACACCACATGATTTCAGTCTGTATCATTATTATTTTACACTGAGAATAACAACAAAGCATGACAGAGTAAAAATGACAATAGTCTCAGTGCACTGGCATCATGCAGTAGAAGTGTGTTAGTACAGTATAATGAAAACAGTTTTATTGCTGAATGCATGTGTTGCCAATGCCTGTGATTTTATCACAAGTCTCACAAGACTCGGTATTATTTTTTTAAAGCTTCAGCTGCTAAAATCAAGTGATTGCATGAGAATCTCAGCTTTCACTAAAATAAATGAATACAGAAAAATGGTAAATGTCTAGCTGCTGCGGCTGCCAAACAAAGGTTAAGTGATCCAAGGCTGAAAACAGAAACCAATTGAAAAGCACCTAAAATATTATTTTTAAATTAATCTCCAATCTTTTGAGCCACTCACATTACATTTTCCTTGTTGGCTCAAGATTTGAGTTTGACTAAATGGCTCCAATATCACCCCCATCATAAATCAAACACTTTATCTGTCCAAATCATCCAAAACGCATAGGGCAGAATGAAAGTGCACGTTGATGTGACATCATTCAGCACCTTTGCTGAGTCTCTACCTTGCATTTCTCCTGTGTTGAATTGCAGTGGAAGGTATCATTTAGAAACATCTCATCATAATGAACATAGTGGAGCTCCACTACCCCAGGGGCGGTATTAGGAGAAAGATGATCTCAGAGATGTGAGAATGAATTAGGAGAACAATGATTTGTGGTAAAGATAAAGCATATTCCCCCTTCCACTTGAATGAATCATTCTTTAAAAATATGTATCCCTTATGGTTGTGGAGAAGATCTTCACATTGTGAACAATAAAAGCTCCAAAATAGCTATGTTTAATATAATTATTTAAAGTTATTCCAATGACTTTCGAGGAAAAGGGAGTAGCTGATTCACAACGTTTCACTCCTTGATACTATCAGTTGTAAATACATTCTCATGCCAGTATATTTCAGTTATTTAATGACAAAAACTAAAGCCATTATTTTCCCCCCGCCACCCCCCTGTTCTCAATAAAAAAAGAGAAAAAGTGACAAAAGGCATCTGGACTCGGCTCATATTTTTACAAAAGCTTGCGAAGTGGTGTTTTCCGCAACTTTTTCAAATTCTAATCAGGGCAGCTAAATAAATAAATGAGGTATGTGGGAGTCCAGGGAGGAGAAAACATGTTTAGGAAAGATGTTTTTGACAATAAAAGTATAGGACTATGCTATTCCAATCGAAAATGTCATTTTAAGCTGCATTTTCTCCGTAATGCTTATACATTTATAGGCGCTCAAATATTGCGGGGGATGGAAACCGTGCTAGACAGACAGATAGAAAGATAGCATTTTCACCCTGAAGGATCCTAAAGTGTTATAGAACACCATAAACTCATATACAAATTATACATGAGAATCATTTCATATGCTATTTAAATGTAGCCACCTTTGAAGAAACAGCTGTACAGAGCCTAGCAATGGTGTACTGCAATGAAAGTAAATTAAGGAAAAGTGCAATTTATCCATATGATACTACAAGTGAGCAGAATTGCTGAGGGTGGGACTTGACCAGCACAATGTTCTTCCCTTGGGAGAGAAAGAAAACTCCATTTGAGCCATACTTAGCAAAATGACAAGCAGTGTCTAGAGCCGTGTAAGCCCTGTTGGATTCAGGCTTCCGATAGTGCCAGTTTTTGATCTGGATGTGAAATT